CGCCGTTTTTTGCTGTATTTAATTACAGACAAGCAAACAAACAATCTCAGAGTTTTAGTAGTATATAGATAGATAGAAGCTGTTAGATCACTACTTGAACTTACTATCCTGTAATACTACGTAAACCACCACTCTGGCCAGTATACAAATAATAAGTTTGTTGGATGTAATGATCGTTGATAATGTGTGTTAATGAGAAATGACCGAAACTAATGTTACTTCAGATAAACAACATCCACAATCAAATATACCGTTGTCTATACCTCTGAAGCTGTTTATTGAAACTGTGCAACGATGTTAACTTAGACCAGAAGATAAAATAAGTAAAATTTACTTAAATAATTTGCCAATGTATCATTTTTATCAGATGGATAGGTAGGGAAAACATATATCACTAACATTATATATATACAGAAACATACGTCACCATGTAGAATTCCTGGAGGAACTACGAATATAACCAGTGCTAAGAAAGATTGGATGCTGAAGGACACAAGGATTCAGAGAATGCCTGGTCATCACACCAAGAATAATTACAAGAGAGACTGTAGAAAGACTGAGGTTTTATGTGGATGAACGTGATAACATGTGTATCTAGAAGAGATGAAAATATCACTTTGCTTCTAGCTACTGGAAGGTTGAACTAGAAGATGAATATAGAGGCAAGTTATCAACAATAGCAGCGCCAATTACGGGACTATCTAATGTTGAATTACATTTAGATGGACTGAAGACTATGAAAAAAAAACATTTCATTCACTAAAATGTGCCTTTGATGATGCATCAGTGCTAGCATATCCAAGAATATATATATATACATAATTTTCTTAATTGAGGTCTCGAACTTTCTACAAACTACGAGACGCTATGATATAACAATACTCACACAGCGAGAAAAACTTAGAGATTTCGAGAAAGATGACGTCAACAATACTACAACAATTGGAATACACACACAACGTACGACTCTTACGAATTATGTAACCGAATTTGTTATACCTATCGCCTTTAACATAATTAACTTTAACATCTTGTTATGAAAACTAAATAAGCATTAGATATTAAATCACTAACTAAACTAAATAATCACTCCTACGCTAAAGAGCCTTATATATCTAACACCATTCAACTTCTGACTTCCGTGAGACATCCAAAGTCACGATGAAAGATTGTTAGCATATGGTTATGTTCTTTAGCAGTTCAGAAGCCTTGTTCTACTGTTACTAACTATCTGATGCTGTCCATCCCAGATACCGGAACTGCAGACTGGCTGGTAGAAAAGAAGTGAGAGAGATATGTTACATGCTTGAAAAAGATGTGCACAGCAAGAAGGTTCTTCAAAATGGAAATTGGGCCCATCTCTGACAGAAATACGACTATAAAAATCCTTAAAGCAGTTAATCGAATTTACTAGCAGAAGGACAACAGATCAGAAGAGCCCTCACCCAGTTTCCTTGCAAATTAGTGTTTGAAGGCAGTAATACATTGCAGCATCATTGCTTTGCCTAGGCAACATGATGGACTATTGATTGAACTTTCACCATAAGAGAAGAATATCAGCAAGAAAAGAACAGGCGAGTTATTAGGGCTGCCAAATATATATGAGATAGGCTTCAAAATTGATCCTCTGTGGGACGGAAATTTATTATGACACTAATTTCTAGATAAAGCCATCCCTCTCTGAAAGAAAATAGCATTTTTAATGGTGTAATTTGCTTCTGACATTTTGTTTCTGTGTAAAGCTGCACAATGTCTATCTGCCTCATCCATCAAGGGGAGCAAACCACAAATTTAAAATTATAAGCCTTGAAGCTCATCATTGAGCCATCAGGGGAAAACCTTATAAATTTTTGTTTGTTGTTGAACACAAAGCTACACAATGGTCAATCTGTGCTGTACCCATCAATCAAAATTTAGTTATCACTAAGCCACCTTTTAAATGAAATGAAAATTTAACTTTGTTTCATTAAAATATTATAAGCTGGTATTTCTTAACTTAAAGCTAGGTTTGAATTTAAACATTTTAATTAAATTTGTTTTATTTCATACAGATGAAATTGTGAGTTAAATGTTAATTTGGAATAGATAATTACACTTGCTTTCATTATGTAATACTGTTGACTTATGAGGATACCTTTGAGAGGATTGTTGTTGTTGTTATTAAGCGCAAAGCTAAACAAAGGGTGCCCAGCGCGGGTATCGAACCCCGGTTTATAGAGGTATAAATTTGCAGACATACCGCTATGCCACTGAGGGGCTTCTGAGAGGATGTTGATATTTATTTTTTTTCAACCGAATTTCACAAATCGGAGTTTAAAGAGGATTCAATACATTATATAAAAACGATTTTGAAAAAAGCGAATTAGCAAGTTACGTGAAAAACAGCAGATATAAAGCTGCAGTATCATAAATAGTGTGATGCCACTGGAAATTTATTGCTTTGAAGAAAGGTATCTAACAGCCTTGTCCTACACAAAATATCCATTCATTCAAATTATAGAGATATTTTCTGATCGGAAATTCAGAAATTCCAGGACTTAACAGAATTGGAAAACAAATGAATATGGATCAACTTGGGGCATCACAACCATCCAGAAATAGACCTACAACAAGTCATACCCCAGTCTTGATAAGAAAAATGCAGCATCTTGTAACAGATGAGAATCTATCAACACAAAGTTCAGTGGCAAAAACGGGTCAAATGCTTCAGACAACAGTATGTGACATAATTAAGAAGGATCTCTGTCCTTCTTGTACACAAGTTACTTCTACGACATATTTGTTCATCCGATGCAAACATCAAGCAATTAGAGAGAGAAAGAAAAACACACGAGTATTCATTCTATTCCAGTTACGTGGTCTATGAATTTCTATGCGATCTTACACTAGATTGATTATAAAAAGCTACAGGAAGAGACGTGTTATGAAACTGGTAGTCTTACGATGGAGCCTTTTGCAGTATGAATTACGCTGGAGAGCTATTATCAAGTAGAGAATGGCCAGACGTGGCGAAATGGACTGATTTTCTTCACGTGGATTAGAAAAATTGTTGAATTTATAATGATGTCTTCAAACGTTGATAATTATATTTTGGCCTGATTATCACGGATTTAATCTGAATTGGATTTTTGTTTACTTTCAGGTGAAATAGGGGGATCTATGGGTCTACTTCTGGGAGCTAGTATCATCACTGCTACAGATATTTTTCTGTTCTTCATGAAGAAAACATATCAGAAGTTCTGTGACATGGTTTTCAGTACAAAAAAGTGATAACTGTTACATTCACCCAATAACAGTCACATGTAATAGTGTAACACATTGTGCACTGTGTGTTTCTTATGTGACGTCTTCACATATAATATTGCATCAACCACCTCTAGGTTGTTAATTTTGAATAGACACTTCGAATCTTCTTTACAAAATGCTTTTAAATTGTATTAAAGGTAATTATACCAGTCAAAATTCCATGCAATTTTATCCAATAAAGTTATAACTTGTTGGTAGATTGAGTAGGTTTTGGTGAGAACTCACACACTTTGGAACACCTAGCGTGAAAATAAAGTATGGTATATATATTCATGATGTTAGAAAAACACGTAGGTTCAAGAAGTCTTGTTTGAAATGAATAAAAATCCTATAACCCGAGCGCTTTCGAAAGGAGGACCCTTCTTCTTCAGTTTGCCCCTGAAGAAGAAAGGTCCTCCTTTTGAAAGCGCTCGGGTTATAGGATTTTTATTTGCATTTTTATGATATATATATATATAGTATCCATATTCTTCAGCGGTAGGTCTTGTTGAGAACTTTACAGTTACTTTAAAACCTTAAACTTGTATAAAATATTATTTTCATGATATCTTCAAAAGCTCTTTTTTTAGGCTCAGGTGTCAAACAAAATATAGTTATGTTTGACAGCTAGGCCTGCCTGAAATGTAGTATTTTTTTTTTAAACATATGTTCCTATCTCTCTTAAAATAAAATTCGTCAATTGATCCAGTTCTCTATCAGTAGTTGGCAAAACGTGGTATCATCTTCAATAAAATAATAAATTATGGTTTAAGCTTAAAACTATTTTAATAGTTTTCATAAACTTGTGGGAAAAAACTCAATTATGACAATTTTCTGTTACATACTTTCAGTTTTAACCCATTTACTTCAGTGATTTCGTGTATTACCAGCTTAGCTTTCCTCTTCTTACAAGATTGTAAATACAATAATCTCTTTCAGTGTACAGAAAGAACAGTGCAGGAGATAAATAGCTACTTTTATTAAAGTATGTAACGCAACTTTACAAAAACCCCAATAAAATTGATGATTTTCTTGAGAACTTGACAAATGATGTAAAGAATTTATTACCTGGAGTAATAAGGTATAAGGTGTAATACAGTATAAGATAAATGTTCTATGAAAAAAGCTAGTGCAATAAAGTAAAGAAACTTATTCAAAGTTTCAATAAAGCCACAAGTTTTGAAAACAGAAACGTTATTTGAATGGCTTGATGTTGTAAGGTTTTAAATGTAATGCTAATAACTGTAACATGTATTTTTCTTATTATTTCTGTTGCATAAATATAAATACACGTTATTCTCACAATAAAACAAAACCAATTTCTTTTTAAAAAAACGTTTTATGTTTATTTCTCTAATTATTTGGTTTAAATGCTTTCACACCAAGAACAGGGTACAGTTACTGACTTCCTATAGTCTTGGTGGGGCTACTCAAATATCAATGATGTCATGGTACAGTTACTGACTTCCTATAGTCTTGGTGGGGCTACTCAAATATCAATGATGTCACGGTACAGTTACTGACTTCCTATAGTCTTGGTGGGGCTACTCAAATATCATTGATGTGAAACCATACAAATACTGCACAGTAGTGAGGACAATTTGAAATAAAAAACAGACATGTTTGTTAAATGATTCGTTATAAAACAGGTGTGTTTTTCAATAGCAACACACAACTTGTGTAAGAGCATTCACACTAAAGAACCTTGCCACTTTACTTGGGTATACACTTTATTAACAACACATTTTATACACACATGGTTTTAAATGTAATTAGGAATAGTTATTTAGGTTTGCTTTTGATTAACTCTGGTGTTCTCAGAAGTTTTCTCAAAGTAAAACTTAAGTTAATACAAACAGTACAATAAATAACTACATGATATGTCAAAAAGTTTTCTCATAATTGAATTTCCCTTTTACGTTTTCCTGCATCATTTTAAACACTAAGAACATAATTATCTCTGTAAGTAAACTAAAGGCACTCAACTTTTTTTTTTATTTCTAATATTGTAAAATAAATTTGGTTTTGTTTGATAATTTCAAGTAGTAATTTTGAAGTTTAAATTTATCTTGAATTAATTTGAAAATGTTCAGAATTTTTCAACAGGTGGCACCAGTTGCAATCTCAAAAAACTTAAAATAACTACAAGTCACCTACACAAAACGTGCCTTAAATATTTACAGGTGCATTTCTTTTAATTACAACTTCAAAAGTATAATATTATATTAAAGTTCTTGTTAATATGAATCAAAATATAAGATAATGGAATGGTTTATCTTACCAGACTAACAAATTATGATAAACAAAATTCACACAATTTTGATAAGAACTTAAAATATTTTTTCAGAACAAAAACTAGCTTTAAAATACAAACTAATCTGCATAAGTATTCTTGCACTTTGTTCAAAAACTTAAACAAATAAAAACAACAAACTTAAAAACTCTTCCAAGACCATATATATATCTATGTTAAAAGGATTTGTTGTTAGGAAAGGTAATCCTTAGATCAACAACCCACAGAAAAAGATCTAAATTCTTTCTGGAAAATAGAAGAAGACTGTTCTTTCAATCTAACTGTCAAAATAGCAGTGGAAGTTTATACTTCAATTTTTGAAGTACACATATAACCTTCATCACTGTGAAAAACAACAACAGAAAAAAAAAAACTTGTTCAAACAACATGTAACATGTATTAGAACAACAGGAGAGTCTGGTAATAAAGTTTTTAAAACTTTTTATACCTGAACTATGTTTTTGTTTAGAATATGTTTTCAGTTTATTTTTTCACAAATGCTATTAGGTTTCACAAGTATGTGAAATGCTTCTGCAAAATAACATATGATTGGTTATATATATATATATATGTGTGTGTGTGTGTGCATGTAAACACACATACACAGATAGGTAGTTTACAACATAACCAATGTAATATAGTAATGTGTAAGATTTTTTAACTTATATATTTAATTGATCTGTTCTGAAGCAAATGATACTGGAACACATGCTCAGCACTGTGCATCAAAATCAAAACAAATCAGGCATTACATTAGTTACATTCATTAGGAAGAATGTGGAGTCAGTCTTAACGAAAATAGTAATGTACATTTACTTTCAACCACAAGATGGTTTGATGTTACTGTAAAGAGACTTCAAGAATATGCAGATAATATTATGTTATGGTTCAAGAATGAAAAACTTTAATGACATGTTCTACAGTACACATGCATTCATGTGACCGTATGTTGGTTTAAAATGTAAGCTACAAACTGAACAATTCTAATAATGGAACATAACACTAACACCCGATTAGGCACTCAAATTACTGTATGTACCTTTGTAGAATGCCATTCAGGGAAAATAATGATCAAACATTTTCTGTAACTCTGACAGAACCTCTGGAGTTCGTAGATTCACATACAAATTAATACAAAAGTATTGAAAAGTATACAATACACTAAATCATGACCTTTGAAAAACATCACATAACTTATCCAAAAATGTGGAGGCATCTTCACTAACCAATAACATAATAGCTAATGCATTTATCTATAAGTATCTGCTAAATACAACAATAACTGTACAGTTGAGTCTAATCCTAGTGAAATTTATAACATAGATCCAGAAGTGTCTGCAGCCTATAAGCAACCTGAACCTCATGTCTTACAAATGGTTCTGTGTTACTGCTTTTCTCTGTTTCAAAATGTTATAAAATTTAATATTTCTAATTAATGAAAATTAAAACAGGCAATAATAATTAAAGTAGACATACAGTTTTAAAGATCATTATAAAGTAAAAGTCAGTAGAGTTGTAACGTAACAATATCATAATACACATGCAAATCAACAGTTCTAATTTGCAATGGAAGATTATTTTTTATGCACTTTTTATACGTTTGAGAAAAATAACTTCATTTTAGATCATCAGGAGGAGTAGGATTCAGTTTTTAAGTATTCAGAAGACAGTTTAAATATAGAAGAGAGGACTTGATATGATTCTCATTCATATAGTTTTTGGAATTAACAAAGTTACTTTTCCCACAAAATGGTATAAAACATGAAGACAGTCAATCAAGAAAACTTGTCCCAACCTCTCTGCAACCATTGAAATATTGATGTAAGCTACAGACACCTCTGGCATGATACAACATGAGCCAGAAGTGTGGTCTTGAGCATGAAGTGGCAAGAGGCATATGAGTTAGCTCAACAGGCTGTCCTGTTAGAGTAATAATGTTAACAAAGCACAAGTTTGGGATACTACAACACAAATAATTTTTTGCATGGAGTAAAAACTATAGCAAACCCGATACCCTGGAATGAAATGATATGGTAAAATGATAGTTTATTCCACTAACTTTCACTAAACACTTTTCTCTTTTCAGAGAAGGGGGAGAGGGGTTTGGCTACTAGCCAGTTCAAGTTTTTGCACCAGCATAACTGGTAATGTTAGAATTTGTCCATGAGACCCACCACTACACATTTAGCTGTTCACCATTAATGAAGTCAAAGGTGGCTAATTAGCATAGTGGTCAAATGAGCCAAGGTACTCTAGTGCTGCCCTGTAGCAGAACTGGTACTGATCCTGTGTGAAGAGAAAACAAAAAAATATGCTCTAGGAAACTTTAAAAGTACCATACAATTTAATCACACAGATGGACGGAACCTTTCTAAGTACAATTATAGGTAAAACAAATTAACTTCAGACATCAACAGAAAAGTATAAACCATGTGAATTTTTTAAATAAATGAAACAAAGCCATTGAATCTAACTATTTTAAATTATTTAGTTTGTCATTTACCAGAAGTAAAAAAAAAGACAAATCCGAGTGCATTAACAAATCCATTTCACAACATTATAATTATGTATTAAAGACATAAAGCCAACATTTAATAGTACACAATAAATATTTAAAAATGAGACTGTCCTCAGTCTCAAATTACAATAAAAGATTGTTTTACTAAATAAAATACTGTATAAAGATAAAAGAAATACTGTGGGACTGAAAACAGTCTTATACACTCTATGGACTGTTTTCAGTCCCACAGTATTTCTTTTATCTTTATACAGTAT